CAGTTTCAGATAGGTCCGCTTCTTCTTCCATCTCATGAGTAGCATCAGGCACGTCTGTTTCATACGAATTATCAAGCAGCAGCCGGCGGAATTTTGTTCTATTCTTGGACTTGGTCATATTGGCGGACGCTAGTAGCTCGATGTTACTGTAGCAGCGAACTCAATTTGACTAATGCTACTGCTTTCATGCTACAAATTTGAAATAATTGTACTGGTGGATTCTGAATCGAAGCAGTGGAATATTGTGACCCAATTGAACAACAAATTCGATGGGAATTTGAAGGTGAGCTGCAAATTCACGAATGAATATTTGTTCTTCAACTTGTGAAAATCGCACTCAAATTAGAAAGATTATTGTTTGAGGATAATCGGAATAGTATATAATCATACGGAAGTGATGATATTTGTGGGAAATCAATCAAGAATCTGTGAATTTGAAGCTCAAAGAGGATGTCGGCGCTAAGAATTGTGAGATTCTTAGTGAGAGAAGCTCGTTTCTCTCTAACCGACTTTAAGATCTTTTAAACATAAAGCTAGCATAATTGTTACATCTAGAGTGGAGTCATGGTTGTCTACGATTGATATTCAAGCCCTCTTACTTATTAAGTGTTTTTTTTTTCTAAATTAACTATTTTTTTAATTGCACAATTTTTTTATTTTTTTTTTAAATCTCATGTACAATTGTTATAATTAACTATTTTTTTAATTGCACAAATATTTTTTTTTTTAAATCTCATGTACAATTGTTATAATTAATAAATATAATCATTTAAATATTTTTTTAAAATTAATTGATTATAAGATCCCAAAATGGCAAAGATCACATTTTATACAATTAACATATAGTAAATCATAAATAATAAGTTAGTACGTACTTTAGGAGAAGAGTTGGATTGCTATTAGATATAAGGCCAAGAGTACATTAACAATTAGTGACAAATAATAATAATAATAATAATAATAATAATAATAATAATAATAATAATAATAATAATAATAATAATAATAATAATAATAATAATAATAATAAAATTCTGTTCTTGCTGATTTCCTCATAACAAAAACTATCCAAAAACTAGAAGAGATAGAGGTAGCTGCCTGGTAGTGGAGATGCTATGAGCCTATGACCACATTAGAGCCACACGATGAGTGCACACACTGGAGAATGTTGTTGGCGCAATCGGTAAAAGTGTCGGACACATGATCGAAGCATAATTGTATTTCAAGGAGTCCCTTGTGCACTTTGCTGCATACGACAACCGGTATTGCCTTGACAAGCCCCTGAATCTGCTGGCATAACACACTTGTCACCTCTGTCCTAGGATATCCCAAGAAAACTTCCAAACCGCCGTTAGTCAGAAAATCAACGGTCCACTTGTATTGCAGGGCTTTGAGAAAATATTTAGGAGGAGATAGATTCAGCATTTGGGCATGCTTATGCCACTCATAAGTCCAAAACCGTTCATTATCATGAGATCCAATGAGACTTGGCCATTCTCTCTCTAAATATCGGCGCAAGAGTTTAAAGATAATCATGTCCAATGCTAGCTTACCAATACCTTCATCCCGAACAATGATCCGTGAAGTCATATCATAGGCCCATAAGCCATGCACCGAAAACCGTGGTTGTATGGGTTTTGAGCAAGGCGACGACCCCCCCGGTGGAGGACGGCAGAAGCCGGGCCCCCAGGTGAGCGCCAACCGCCAATTTCCAAATATAACTGGTTGCGACAGTTGATTCTGTGCGTAGCCCTTAACCATTTTCGCAACCACGGTAATCACACCCCCAGCTGCACATGTCATAAGAGTACCCGCCCTTGGGGCCGCTTGAAGCTGATTCGGCAAGCGGATCTGTAGGCAACATGCATATAAATACAATCAAGTTGGGAAGATGATGTGTAGAAATGATACAAGTCGAAGAGAGGAGAAGATCCAGTCCACCATGAACAAGAGAAGGGAAACCAGACGAGTCATGCAGTTCTTAATGGGGTTGGATGAATCCTATACCACCCTAAGAAATCAAGTGTTGCTCAAAGAGACTTTACCAGATTTGTATGATGTTTTTAACTTGGTAATTCAAGACGAAGCTAACAATGAGCTATCGAATATGACACATCATCCAATTGATTCTGCTGCTATGATGATGAAGGGAGATATCTTTGAGAAACAAGGTGGTGTCCATAATTTTCAAACTACAGCTGCTGTAAACAGGACAGAATATGTTCAAAGAAACAATCAAAAGGGAAATTTCAAACCATGGGTTAAGAATCCTCAATCAAAACCCAAGATGGTTTGCAGCAAGTGTGGCAAGAACAATCACACCATAGGAACCTGTTATGAGATCTATGGATATCCACCTGGACATAAGTATTCGAAATTTAAGTCACAAGCAATGGAGAATCGATTCAGTCATCATATGGCCAATCAATCTTCAGTTTAAGAACCAAACGATCAAAAGAACATCTCCTTCACTCAAGATCAAGTCCAACAATTGATATTTCTCTTGCAGGGATCCAACATCAAGTCTAATCAAAGTTCCATAAGCTCAAAATCTGTTTCTAATGAGTTCAGGATGAAGATGATAGAGACTGAATGAAGTTCAGGATTTTGTTCAGATGTCTATAACACGAGCAGATACGACAATGAAAATGTTGCCTATTCTCTATAGTATCATTTATGTCTATTGAGTAACACATTTCCACTGCTAACAATGAAAATGTATGTTTGAGTTTATTTAAATCAAATGTCGCCTTAGCGGTCACTAACAGTTAACTTCTCATATCTTACACCTATCCTAAGCCTCAGCCTATAAAACCAATGTCAATAACAGGTGAAGGAAAAGAGGGTTAAGTAAGTAAGTCGGGCAGTAATCTAATATGCGGCTGTTTACTAAGGCGCGTAGCGAAACCCAAAAAAAAAATCAATAGTATCAAGACAAGTAGACTCTTTTTTCACACTCATACACATATAAAGAAATAGTAGGCCTGCAATATAGATATAATAGACAGTTAGCAGCAAGGTTATCTTTCAGGAGGAAAATGCAATAATCGCACGACATTTAGACCAATTGTAAATTCTGTGACAGTGCATCTACTGTTTTCGTTTAAGGCTTCCACCTTGAACTTTCTTTGTAATGTGTGCAACATAGTTTTGACTTTATTTCATAATACCTATACATACAACATAATTTTCCAACTTCAATAATAGTTATTGTCAATTCAAAACAAAAATATTGTAACAAGATATTCAAGGTGGAAATGCCAATCAAATTAAAGAACATTTACCTGAAAAGAATATGGTGGTGAATCTGGTACGCGGCGAATCTTAATTGCAGCATCACCATCAGGTGGAAAATACTGTAAGATGAGATAATAAATCTTTGGTTAGAATGCTTATACTAAATTTTTACTTTTTAGAAGTAATGTAAAATAGTTGCTATTCATCATATGGCACACTAGTCTTATTGTAATTGAATAAATTTTAAAACGGTGAATTACTCCAAAAGCTCTATTGTTTACTATATTTTTTACAAAGTTCAGGGAAAAAATTAACAAATAAAAAACCTATAAATAAACAATACTAATAACTAAATAAGACTTATCTTCACAGCAATGAAGAAATTATGAGGAACTTAAAGAAAATCGAAATAAAGCTACAAAAAAAACAATACAAACTACTCAATTACCTATATGAGATTGTAAGAAACTATGAATAATTTATTTAACAGCAGCTAAATACCACCATATTGCATGTTTATGCACAATCCAACTGTTGGAAGTCTAGAAAGACGAACTTATGTGACCATGTACTCAGGCAAAACTATCCTAAACAACACTGTATATAAAAAAAACCAATTCAAAAAAAATCGATTAGGTATGGGCGTTAAGGCTCATCGCTATAAGGAAGAACTTCACTTGTACACTTGATTTTGCCCTTGGGTCATGTGCCCTTGAATTTACCTCCTTTCTTTGACCCAGAAGTCTTCGACTACCTATACTTTTAAGAAGATTCAGCCATTGGTTTGGCTACCACTGACGTGGAGCACCGTGATAAGGCGCCTATTGATGACTTCTTTTTCCTGATCTCAAGACAACTTAAGCAAAGCGATTAACAAAGGGAGTTCGGTCTTGGGGTTAAGGCTCATACGCTCGACCAAGAGTAAATGGGGGGTTTTGAGGTAATGAAATGAAAGAAAAGAAGGCCCAGTTCCATCGGGCTAAGGTAGCCCTTTTGAATGGCCAAACCGGAGTAGAAATCAGTCTTTAGAACTACTTACACGGCTCGATCTACTACGAAAGAAGCTGGACAAGATCTTCTCGGGGACACTAAAAGCTAAGGCTATCAAATAGGTAAGCTGAGGATTTGACTGACGGAAGCGTCCTGGTTATTGGGTCAGCCGAAATGCGATTGATCGGCTCAACCGGATCAAGGACTGACGTCGAACCGCGCAAAGGAAGCAGCAAAATCGGAAAACGCATCGCGCCACACGCGCAGCCTCGGCAGATACACAACTTACACAGCACAGGCAGCATACAAGCAAGGTTTTTTTATGAACAACCAAGTGTAGTACAAGGCGGAAGGAAGACACACAGGAAAGCGGGAGCCCCCCATCTTAAAGAGAGATTGTTGAAACCCGATCTGAAGCGTATGCTTTTGCTTCGGAGTTCGTGTCGGCTGGAGAGTCCTCGTTCATTTGTTTCCAAAACTCGTCATGGTGGGCACAGCCAGCCCTGTAGGTGGAGGCACACGAAGACCACACACATATCTGTTTAGAATCTATATCCCACGATCATCCACTCTTCGGGAAGAGAAGGACTCAAGTAAGGAGTCTGAGTGCGTGAGTTGAGTTAAAAAAGGGGGCTCATCTGTTTACCCGACTTAGACCACTAGCATCTTACCTTACATCTTCAGTCCCCATCTTTCTTCAACTTCCAAGTCTCAAGCTAAAGCAGCTGATATTATATCTATGCCAAAACACGGGGTTTCATCGACTTCCAATATTGAGTTTGGCAAAGGGGCTGTAAAGACTAAGAAGAAGAGGCCGCTAAGGAGATCTCGACGTAAGGAGAGGACGCGTCGGGGCTCGACCATAGTACGAGGAAGGTGGGTACGGAAGCATACTCACCGGAAAAGACATCCTATAAATGCACTAGGTTTAACGAAGTCCTTTTGACCGCTATATTCCGCTTATCAATCCAAGGCCAGCTTGCAATGTAGTTGCGGCGAGCCATAGGTCTGACCCTAACTAAAATCAAAGGTCATGGCATAAATATACCATTGTCCTCCGGTGTGCTCTTCCACGTAAGACAGTAGTGACCCTTGTCTGCACTGCATTCCCATGAACAATCAGTCTCTAAAGAAGGAATCGAAGTGTCAATACAACTACTTAATCGCCCTCGCATTAGCGCGATTCATGCTTGCTATCCCTCAACTAACTAGAAAGTCCACTCATCATTAGATGAGGCCCCGCTGGCATCGAACCCGGGCTGTGGTCAATATTTGGGAGATCCTTCATTTCATTCCGAATTGGCGAACTCTCGTGCGCACTGAATGTTCTTTCATTCTTCCTTTCTCTTTGAGTGAAGTCAACTCGTCAGAAGATCTTTACCAAATATGGGAAAGGCAGTAGAGTCCCTATCTAGCGGAATTGGTATTATCATACAATATCAATCCTTCCTCATGCGCCTGGCTAGTGCTTCACCAGCAGCCCTTTTAGTACACAGACTTGATTGAGGGTCGATGTAATTGAGCTTTCTTTGCTTTACGCAATTTACTCTTTGCCTTCGGCCCTTCTCCCACCTATTGACGATATCGAAACTGAACACATTCTACTCTGAATTCTAATACGAAATTGATTCTAATGAAAAATTTCTACTCTGACGGGTGACTTAATGCATGGGACAATGGAACTTGTGCCTTTTTTTCTTGTTCTGAAAGTGCTCCCCAAAGAAAGATAAAAAGCTATCTTCGAAGAATTCCATTCTTTTCTGTAGCTTGATCGGTAAAGGCCACTAATTAGTAAGGAAGACTCAATATGCCTTGAAAAGCATTTTGTGAGTTCTTCTTCCGGAGAACTTATAGCTCTGTTTAGAGAGTACCTTCCTTTTCCAATCGGCATATGGAAACAAATCTTTCTCTTGTATACTGGTATGGTTCTAAGCAGTTAGGCTCGGTATTCGATCCAGAATCGGATTTCTTTCATAAATCTTTATCATATTCTTTTTTTTTTCAAGGGTGAATCCATTCAAAGACTTACTCCAGGGAATGCTTCTTCTTTCCGGATATAGGAAGGAAAAAGGTAGAGTGTCATTTGATTTGGCAAGAGGACAAAATGTCTCTTCATACGCAATACTGTATGCCCGTATAGTAAATGGGTTAATCCCTTTGCCAGAAGACGATCAGATCTTTTAAGAAGCGCTTTTTTTTCTATTTCGTTCTCATTTACACTTTCCCTGGTCTGTGATCGGATCTCACCGACTCCGAAGAGGAGGTGTTCGTAGGTATTCTTCCTACGAGCCAATTCTCAGTCGCCGAAGCGAGTCTAAAGGCAAAAGAGTCATCTTCGAAGGTAGTTTACTTACTTACTTACTCATAGTAGAGTCTAAGGTAGGTTTGGGTATTGACCCTCACATAAAAAGATAAAAAAAAAATGCCATTAAGTACCAAAGGGAGAAAAATGCACGAGACATAAGTGCGTTTTCTACTGCAAATGAGAAAACAATAACGGATAAAGAAAAAGAAAGCAACGGTCGAAATATAATAGAAATACCAAATTGTAACCGAAACTCCAACAACCCCCTCAA